GAGAGGGAAGAAATATTTAAAAACTGAATAGAGCCTCAGGGAACTGTGGGAAAATAACAAAATGTTAGACATCTTAAGACATTTTGAGAAAGAATGTGGTACTGAAAAATATTTGAGTAATGACCTACCACATCATAAATTTAGTGAAAGATACAAACATACAGATTCAAAGAACCTGAAACAGTTATGAAAAACCCAAAGAAATCCATACCCAGACATTGTCATCATAAATCTGAAAACTAAAAACAAGAAAAATCTTGAAAGCAACCAGAGAAAAATGGCGTATTCCTCTGGGGGAACAGTGATTCGAATGATTGAGGAATTCTCGTCAGAAACCGTGGATGCAAGAAGGAAGAGGCAAAATATTCTTAAAAGTACTGAAAGAAAAGAACTGTCCATAACCAGCAAAAATATTTTTTAGGGTTGAGAGTGACAAAAGGACATATTCAGATGAAGGAAAACTTAAGAGTATTCATTGCCAGAAGACCAAATCTAAAATTTGCTAAAGAATATTCTTAAGACAGAAGGGAAAATGATACCAGAAGGAAACTTGGACATCAGGAATGAACGAAGATCAACAGAAATGGTAAATATCTGTGTAATATCATAGACTGAGTTCTTTAAAATGTATTTGATAATTGAAAGAAAAATTACAACATTGTCTGATGTGTTTTTTAATGGATATGGTATAATACATGATATCTGTGAAGTGGTGAAATACTGGTTCTAAGTGGACTCTGAAAAGTTAAATATATGTGGTGTTATCCTTGGAATATTTACAAAATAAAGAGATTAGAATCAAAGTGAATAAATTAAAATGGAATATTAAAAAATACTAAACACCAAAGAAGGCAGAAAAAAGGGAAGAAGCAGAAAACAGTAAAATTGTAGATATAAATTGTTACACATCACTAATTACTTGAAATTTTTAATTTAAATGCTTTAAATGCATTTAATTACTTTAAATGCTATAAACACATTAGTTAAAGAACATTGTTAGAGTACATTGAAAAATGACCCCATTATATGCTATCTATTAGAAACTTCCTTAAAATAATACAGCGAGGTTAAAAATGAAAGGATGGGAAAAGATATACCATGCAAACACCAATCAAAAGAAAACTAGTGGCTGTTTTAAGCAAACAAAATAAACTTTGGAGGAAAGATAATTATCTAGGATAAAGGAGAGCATTATATATTGAAAAATGGAATAATTTACCAGTCCTAAATGTGTGCATACCTAACAACAGAACTTAAAAATACATGAAGCAAAATCTGACAGAACTTAAAGAAGAAAGAGAACTTTACAATTATAGTTGAAGACTTCCCACTTCTTTCTTAGGAATAGATAGAACTAGCAGACAGACATTACCAAGGTTACAGAAAGACTGAACACTATCCATCAACTAGATCTAATTGATACTTACTTTACCCAGTAACAGCAGAATATGCATTCTTTTCAAGTATACATAGATACCACCAAGAAAGAAAATACCTTGGTCGTTAAACAAATCTTGACAAATTTAGAAGAACTGAGCTCAAAGTATGTTCTCAGACTATAATGGAAATGAATTAGAAATCAATAACAGAGAGATAAAAGGAAGTCTCTAAGCTCTTGGAAATTAAATAAAAGACTTCTAAATAATCTATTGGATAAAAGAGGAAGCCTCAGGGGAAATTAAAAAATATTTTGTACTGAACATAAATGAAAATATAACATGTCAGAATTTATACAGCCCAGGAAGTATTTATAAGAAAACTTAACTCATCTAGTGCTTATATTAGAAAAGAAAAAAAACCCCTCATTTCAGTAATCTGTGCTTCCATCTCAAGAAACTAGGCAAAAGAGAACAAAATAAATACCAAGTAAGAGGAGAAAATGAACAGTTCTCTTTATGAAGCCAGTATTAACCTGATATCAAAACTATACAAAGGTTGTAAATGATAAAGAAGGGAAGGAAGGAAAAAAAGAAAGAGACAGAAAAGGAGAAATGAAGGAAGGAAACTATGGACCAGTATATCTCATGAATATAGTTGCAAAAATCCTCAGCAAAACATTAGCAGATTAAATCCTATCATCCATAAAAAAATACACCACGACTGAAAAACCTACAAAAAATTCTACAGCAAACATCATACTTTATGGTGAGGGACTGAACACTTCATTCTGTGAACAAGAACAAGGCAAGAATGTCTACTCTTACCTTTCTTACTAGGTATTTTACTGAAAGTCTTAGTCATTGTTCAAATGGCAGCAAAAGGAAATAAAAGGCATTGCAGATTGGGAAGAAGAAATAAAACTGTTCCTATTTACAGACAACATGATTGTCTATGTAGAAAATCTCAAAGAACCTTGAAGACCTAGAGTAAGTGATTTTAGCAAGGTCATGGGATACAAGATCAACACACACACACACACACACAGCTGTATTTCTATATACTAGCAATTTATAGTGGGAAAATAAAATAATGCTGTTTATGGTAGCTCCAGATGAATTAAATACTTTGTAATAAATACACATGTATACATGATATGTGTGCTGAAAACTACTAAACAGTAATGAAGGAAATAAAAGAAGACCCATGTAAATGTCGAGGCATACTGTGTCCATAGATTCGTAGACTCAAAGTAGTGAAAAAGTCAGTTCTTCCCAATTCAATTGATAGATTTAACACAATTTCAATAAAAACTCTAGCAGTATATTTTGTTGATATAGATGATCTGACTTTAAAATTTACATGGAAATGTTAATGAATAGAATAGCTAAAACAATTTTGAAAAGAATAAAAAGGAAAAATTACACTTCCTGATTTTGAGTCACTATAAATCTACAGAGAGTACTGTGTAGAAGTGATATAGATAGGAAAAAGGATAGGGACATAGTAGAACATGGTAGAGTACTGAGGAACAATTGCACGTGTGGCAAAGATGTGAAAGCAGTGCAGTTGGTAGAGAATAGTCGTATCAACAAAGATTTATAAAAATTGAACCTTTTAAGGCCAAAAATCATGTTGCAATAATTGGACATGCATTTACAAAAAAAATGAACCTTGTTTTAAATTCACATCTTCTGCAAAAGTTAACTCAAAATCAGTCATAGACCTAAATGTAAAATATAAACTACTAAATTTTAAAAAGAAAACATTCTTGATTTGGGATTAGGCAAAGAGTTTTTAGTCATTACATAAAAAGCAGGATCCATAAAAGAAAAAGTTGATAAATTTGACTTCTTTAAAATGAAAAATTTTGCTTTACAAAAGGCAGTGTTAAACAAAGAGACATACTAGAAATTAGTTGATGATGTTCATCACAGATTTGTGTTCAAAATGTATTAGGAAATCTCAAAAATTAACGGTGAGAAAACTAACAACACAGTTCAAAAATGGGCATAAGTTTGAGCAGACGTTTCACTAAAGAGGATACAAGGATGGCAAATACACATCTAAAATTTTGTTCAGTGTAGTTAGCCGTTAGCGAAATACAGTTTAAAACCATGATGAGATACTCCTGCATAGCTATGAGACAGCTAAAACTTAAAAAAGGATTCTGACGATACCAAGTACTGTTGAGGATGCAGACCAGTGGCACTCTCATACATTGCTGGTGGGGATGCAAAATGTTACAACTTGGAAAAGAGTTTGACAGTTTCTTACAATGTTAACCATACACTTACCTCATGACCCAACAATTCCACTTCTTGATATTTAGCCTAGGGAAATGAAAAATTATATTTGCTCAGAAAAGTGTGTGCAGATACTTATAGAAGTTATATGTATAGTTGAAAAGAACTGAAAATTGCCCACCTGTCCTTCAGAAGGGAGATGGCTACACAAAATGTTGGTCATTCATACAATGAAATACTACTCAGCAGTTAAAAGGAATAACTACTTGTGCATGCAACAAAACAAATGAATCTCAAGTGCATTATACAGAATGAAGGAAACCACTTTCAAAGATTCAGTTCTGTGTGGTTCCATTTATGCAACATTCTTAAAAGACAAAGCTATAGTGGTAGAGAACACATCTGTCCTTGCCAGAGGTTGAGCTTAAAGAGGGTGTGTGTGGCTATAAAAGCATGAGGGAGTGCTTTTGTGTAGTGTAATTGTTCTGTATCATGTTTTGATGCTGTCTCCAAGGATGTGTTACAACTCATAAACTTGAACACCACAATTATCTTTCTTTTTTTTAAATTGAAGTATAGTTCATTTACAATGTTGTGTTAAATTCTGGTGTACAGCATAGTGATTCATTTTTACATGTATTAATTTTTTCCTTTTCATAGTCTTTTAACATCATAGTTTTAAAAATTCAGTTTTACTGTATGATAATTTAACAAATATAATTTTAAAAGAATTAAAAAATAGAAGTTAGAGAGGGAAAATGGACAGGAGAGGTGGTGACATAGACCAAAATTGCACCAAAATTCAGGAATTTGTTTCTGACTGAAAATAAAACTCTGATTTCAGTGATGCTGTTTTCTATGTAATAGGTGAAAGTCAGGTACAAGTTATTACTTTTTAAAAATGTACTTAACAGTGTTTCTTTTAATAATTCTTGTTTTTAATTTAGAATATTCATTTCCCTGTGTAGTAAAATTTGAAAGACCAAATGTATTCCAAATATATAAAATCTATGACCAGTTTTCATTTCGACCTTTTCAACTCACTTCATTTCCTGGGATCGGTTTTTTTTTAAGCATATGTAATAAGGAATGATAACACTTCTAAATAACACATGAATCAGCGAAGAAATTTCGAGTAATTTTTAAATATTTTGAACTAAATGAAAGAGGAAACAACAAAGAATTTGTGGAATGCAGCGAAAGCAGTGTTTGGAGAGAAGTTCATAGCAATGAATGCATATACTAGAAGAAAGACCTAAAATCAGTAATACAAGCTTCCACCTCAGGAGACTAAAAAAAGCAAAGCAAATTAAATCCAAAGTGAGCAGAAGAAAAGAAATAATAAAAATTAGGGCATAAATCTATGAATTTGAAAACAAAAATCATCAACAAAACCAAAAGTCTTATTTTATCTTCAAAAAAGTAAAGTAAAGGATGATGAACCTGATGCTTTTCCAGGGCCATTTTTCAGAGTCTGGTTTTGTTTTTATTATCTTTGTTAATTATTTCTAGTTCTACACAGTAAACCTGATTATTGTCTCCATTGAGGTATCTGTGTAGTATTTACCATAACCAGAGACTGACTTCTTTGTCTTCATTTTTTTCTTTCACCGCTGAAGTTCCACCTTACTGCTTTATTTTGCAGGTGTACATTTAATATGCCTCTGTAGCCATATTATTTCTGATTATAAATTTTACCCCTTTCCCTACAGCTCTCCTAATGCTTTTATTTATATTTCAATGTCCAGGAATCACACAGATTGCATTGGTCTTTATAGCGTTCACAGTTTTGAATAACAACCTGCAATCCTTTACTAAGCATTTCACAAAAAAGGTCCTTTTCCTATATAACCACATCATGATTATCATGACAAAGAAAATTAATAGCAATTTCCCTAATACTGTCCCTGTTTGTATTTCTTGAATTGTCCCAAAATGTCTTCCATGGATTTTTAAAAAAATATTCTTTGCATTTGATTGTTATATATATGTTTTCAGTTTCTTTTAATTTAAAGCAGTTTCCTGTACAACTGACCTTTTGAAGAAAGCAGAACAGTTGTCTAGTAGAATATCTCACTTCTAGATTTGTCTGATTTTCCTTGAAGTGTTACTTAATGTCTTTGACTATCTCCCCCTTTTCCTGAAACATTCCTGAAACATTTTTTGTCAGTAAAACTTTGTAATTGATGCTATTTATAACATTAAGAGGTACATACTGTTGAATGACTGATTCTTAATTTAAATTGCTCCCATAGTTTATTCTGGGGGTTGTCTTGCTTGTAAGAGTTCAAGGGAAAAGGTAGAAGGGGAGGATTACTGCTGTCCCTGGAAAGTCACAGGAGTGAAAGTGGGTTCAGATATGGAAACCTAGCATAACTGTCTGTAATGAAGAGGAACATGAAACTGTTTCTAGAAAGAGCAGGGACCGGTGAGCCTTGAATTTGAAATTGGTTATTTTGAGATTGAGAAGTAGATCTCTTTCCCTATTTCTTCTATACAAAGTTTTCTTTGTCTATATTCAGAAGTCAGGCCAGGAGTACAAGTGGCCTGCACTTTTCCTCCAAAAGAGAAAACCTGGGAGCTGATTCTGTAGGCAGAGACATGGTGGTGATGGTGTTGTGTGGGAGATGGGTGGGTAGATGTACCTTCCACATGCTCCATGAGAAAACAAACACTTCTTCCACTTTTTGTTCTGCGTAAAACTGAGCACAAAAAGGAATAATCAAATATGCCTTCAAAGAAATAACATTTTGTTTTTCATTCCTAGGTGAGCACCTCTAAAATCATATTTGATCCCAATTGATGTTTAGATTCCTTAACATGTCAAGTCTATTAAAACAAATATAATTCACCTGACACCTTTTTTTGTATTTATAAACCTCATATTTCTTTCCATGTAGACATCCACCAGTATTGATTGCCTACAGTTAACAGACTCCTTCATGTATTTGTTGACACAGCATGAAGTACTTGATTAGCAAAAGACAGTGACTAGTCAAGCATACCATTTCTAGAATCCTACAAAGATACATCCCAATCTGAAAAGAAAACCTACGTAAGAGAATTTTCTAAAATGTTTTCTTATGAATGATTGGCTTTCAGTCTAAATGGAAATTCAGTTTTCCTTAGTATGTCTGTAAAAGCTTCAAGTTCGAACAGATAAAATAAAGCAAGCGTGGTCTGTGGCTCCTCTCATGCTTTACTATTTATACATAATACTTAACTGTTTGTGGGTAGTGATTGATACAAGTTAATCTTTTGTCATGTTCACACTTGGAAAATTAACAGATCACAAGACCTCTGCATCTAACAAAAGAGGATCAATTCTAAAGATAGTGAATAGGATTTAGGGGTGAGCTGAGAGTTCACCATTTAAAAGAAATGTACTTCTTCTATAGTATATCACTACTTAGTTGACAGCAAACTTAGAAAAACTCATTTTTCTACAAGAGGAGCATGATTTCCTAAGGACTCTTGTATGAGAAACTTAACTGTTCATCCATTTCTGATAACTTTTCAGCAAATCTCCACTTTCCGTGGGTTGACCTAACCTGAAGGTAGTTTGATATAGGGTAATGGATAACTATGGTCAACTCTCACTCTAGGTAGTGTTGTTCTATAAAATCACCACAGACTAGATTAACAAATACTGGGCCATTGCTCTTAGTAGAAATAAAGGATTAGGTTCCTGCAAGCCTCTAGTCAAATCATTTTCATTAACTGATCAATATATAACTTTGTTTTATGTATTTTTCTGTGTAAAGAATTCTTATTTAGTGTATTTTGATTCATTAACATTGGATGCATGGTAAACAACACTGTAACTCATGCCTGAAACCAAGCATATCTAACACATATTTTCGCCATAAGGCACATCACAACTTTCTTGTGCTCAGAAACACTGAACAGCGCTTAATGCTTGGGATCCATTTTTAGCAGTGAAATCACCAACAAAAAAGGCCAAAAATCCAATAAACATGGCACTTAAACAGTTCGCAAGAACATTTGTTTATGAGAGCTGAAGCTGGGAGGCCTTGTTTAGCCTAAGTGGGAATGTGCATGTTGGATGTTACCAATTTTTGCTTCTCTGTGCATGTCCGTGAATGACCAGAAAGCCCAACCAGTATACAAATAAATTTTATTAAGTAGGCAAATTTGCAAACACAGAATCCATGAATAATAAGAATCAGCAGAATTGAATGATCCTTGGGTACCTGTGCAGAGAGAGGAAGGAAGCTAAAAGATGTTACTTCTCTTCTGTGCTTGCAGCTTCCTCTTCTCTCCTTATGTGGTTGATCCCACAAGCAAACTCAGAATCAGATAACTTTTCATGAGGGTCCATTTGGTAAAGGCTTGTTGATGCAGGCTGCTCATGTATGTGGTAATGCATCAGTCTCCCTCATTTTGAGGAGTAGATGGGCTATTGACCTTTCTTGAGAAAAAAAAGCTTTTGTTATTAGTGATGAAATTCCTATAAGGATTGACTCTTGCTTCAAGTTATAATAAACTAAAATTCTGACTTTATACAAATAATTACATAAATTTTTTTCATTCTCCCCTCAGAATATTAATAACTGAAACTTTAACTAAAACCTAAATATAGGACTTAACGTTTATTTTTTTCCCAGATCATTTATTTATTTTTTTAAAAAATTCATGTTGTGAGTTTATACTCACTTCTCTAAATTTTAGAGAAATTCAGAAATTCATTTTGATCCTTAAACTGTTAGCTAGACTAATAAACCATGTGTTGTTTTAGAGGACTGTTTTCTTCTGTTCATTGAACCTGTTTTGTCTTTATTATTTTGTGTCTAGGAGATAGATCCTAGTCAAATAATATAAATATCGCTCATATTTCAGGAAATCCTTCTGTCTGAGATGTATGATCTTTAGAAAAGCATTATTATATTGACATTTATTATTTTGAGGGAACAAAAATAGATACAACAACAACAAAACTCATGGTGCAAAATATTTGGAGAACATTTAATTATACAAAGTTAAATAGGCTTCCTTAGTATAGGACTTCTTACTACTCATGTACATTTTTATCTCCTAGAGGAACTCTAGTATTACATATACTACATAAATACACTGCAGGTGTTACTAAATTTATAGGAACATGGAATTCTTTTTGAGAGAGAGATTGAGGGATCAGTGGCCTACGGAATAAACTTGGGAAAATGCTGGCTTTGATAGTCTCCCTTTGAGTCCTTCCCATAGATCTCATTTCTGCTCTTGATATAAAACAAAATGAATCTATTTCCTCTTCTATATAACAGCTGAATATTTTTAAAAAGCTAAATATCACCCTAAATTTTTTATTTTATAGGTAAAATGTCCTCTACCCTTAGATGGATTCTTAATGATACTTTTGTTTCTAGATCTCTTGCCAAAGCTATGCTATTTTATTCGACCTGTTGGTATCACTTTCATTAGAGCATAGGTTATTATGACAGTTTTTACTGCCTGCAGTGTCTAGTACAGTGCTTTGCATTATGCACTTAGTTAATATTTAGTAAAGTGAAATGAAGGTTTTTATCATCTTAATTCTATTATATTATCTCCACAATAAGAAAAGGGAAATCAGTGATACATTAGATGTTTGAAATTTTGTAATGAGATCAGATAAGGTTTTCACTCTTACAGAAAGTACTCTTTGTGCCAAAAATTATGGCTTTACCAATACTGGATTTGTTTTAAGATTAAAATTAGTTTAAGATGTTTTCCTTTTAAAAATGAGAAACAAAATGAGATTATGGCAATTAACAAGCTAGATAAAGCATATTTGGCATCATGTTTATTAGATTTTTTCTCTAGGAAAATTCTTTTGGTAATTACTCCATAGTCGTTGTGTCATTATGAGATTAGTGAAATCTCTGAAAGATTTTAGCTTTTTTTTTAATTTTTAGAGTCTATACATTGTTTTCTACAAAGTATAGGTATTCACATCATCTAATTATGTAAAACATGACCTCTGAAATTTCATTTTAAAGAAAATTAAGTACCTAGAATGTAACTAAGTATTTTCCTGCAAGAAACAGTAAACCATATGGGTTTAAAAAAGGCTACTTCATTATGATGTTACAACATTAAAATCCATTCAGAAAGGCAAGTATGGGTCAGTGTTTCCTGTTTTTCCCCAGAGTTATTTGTAGGAAATCATTCCTAGCAAACCTAATCTGGGTTGGATTAAGAAAAATGTTTCGTTTGTCATGTGAGTTACTGTTCTGCTCCATATTTTGCTCCTTTGAAGGAAACAGTAAAAGAGTGAAAAAAAATGAAATGAGGAATTTGTTCAAGAGAGTTTTCTAGAGTATGCTCAAAATTCTCTACTTTGTAGTAAGAGGACGAGTGATGTACTAAGATCCCTTGCTCTGCCATTAACTGTTAACATTAGACAAGTCTTTTGACCTTTCTGGGCCTAGGTCGCTTCCTTTGTAAAAAGAGGATGCACTTATTAGATCTTCTCCCAAGGTCCTTTTGAGCTAAAATATTTTGTCATTTTATGTGTAATGATAATTGACTAACATAAAAATAAGTCTAAGATACTGACATATTTGAGATACGTCTTCTGAATTATTGGAAAAAAGATATAACTGAGATAATACTCTTAAAAATATTTTAAATGTATTTTATTATGTTACTTATGGTGTCTATGGTAGCTGTCACATTAATTATTTTTGCTGACCAACTTTTTCTTGATTAATGAAAGCTCATTGTTTTAGTTGTCTTAAATCCCTTATTTATCAATTTTGTATTGAAGTTCTTATTATACAAGTATTCATAATCCTAGATCTCCACAGATAGGGATTGCATAAGCAAGCAAAAGTTTTCATGACCAAGAGTATTCATCTACAAAATCATCTCCATTTAAACATATTCCCAGCTAGACTGTCTAGCCATGCCCATTGGGCCAGAATAG